TGGAACCACCTGGCATGGTGGTGCATGCCTTTAATCCAGTTGGTTATTTGAGGTTATGGCCAGCCAGCTCTACAAAGCAAGTTCCAGTCCAGTCAGGGCCACAGTGTGAGACTCTCAACCCTCCCCCATATGGAAAATACCTGATGTGTTTGGCTCCCATAAACTCAGAGGGAGTGGCAGCATTAGGAGGTGTGGCTTTGCTGGAGTGTGTCATTGGGGGTGGGCTGGGAGGCTTCCTATGCTCAGGATACCACCCACTGTCTCAGTCAACTTCCTATTGCCTGCAAGGTGTAGCTAGCATCATGTCTGCCTGCTTGCCATCAACTCCCCACCATGATGATGAAGGATTGGACGTCTGAAACTGTAAGCGAGCCACCCCAGTTATATGTTTTCATTGTAAGAGTTGGTTTCACAGCATAGAAATCCTAACTAAGACAGCTGGACACCCCAGAGAGAGAGAAGTAGAGGACACAGCTCACCTCACTGCTGACACCCAGCCACCAACATGTGCTATATGGTTCTTTACTATGTGTGGTTAATTTCTGAGTCTCCTCAAGTTTGGTCTCACATCAGGACTACACAACTCGTTCTCGTGTCTCCATACTGGAACCAGGACTACACAACTGGTTCTCATGTCTCCATACTGGAACCAGGGCTTGCTCACACATCAATGCCATGGTGTGAGGATTTCAGGCTCCTATACTCAGATTTGGACTTGGGTTGGAACTACCTCACAGGCTTTTCTGGGTCTCCAGCCCATAAGACTCTGGACCTTTTTAGCATCCATAATAAACTGAGCCAATTTCTTTATATATTTTTATGTATTCTATTGGTTCTATTAGTTCTGTTTCTCTAGAGAACTCTTATACACTACAGTAACATAATATTTCATTCATGTATTTTTTTTCTTTGAGACAGGGTTTCTCTGTGCCCTTGGAGCCTATCCTGGAACTCACTCTGTAGACCAGACTGGCCTAGAGCTCAAGAGATCTGTCTGCCTTCTGCCTCTCAAGTGCTGGGATTAAAGTAAAGGCACGCACCACACCCAACTAAAACAGCTGACATTTACCATGTCAATTCTACTCTAACATTTACTGAGTGTTGTTATAAAAATTTAAATTACAGAGGAAAACACCAGAACATGAAAATACACACTATATAACTTGAGGATGTCAATATTCTTGATTCAAAAAGGTCTATTTAGTATTTACTAAATGATATGCATCTAAAAATGAACTAATTTTTATAATAATCAGATAAAATAACTTTTGCTGCAATTATCAAGTAATCATTAAACCAAAATTCCTAATTTTTTGTGGGTGGTTTCTTTTTTTCAATTAGTTGTTTTAAACTGAAGGATATGTGCATATTGTAAAGAGAACCTTAGTAATTTAATGAGAAGTAAGAGCTCTGCTAAGTGATATCTGTGTGGAACTTCTTGGGCTGCCTGTCAATCAAACTATAAACACTGTTTTATTACATTGTTTTTCAGTTTTAGAATGTTAATATGAAAAAATATGCATCATAATTTATAAATTGTATATAAATTTTCACTTATATGGTTTTTAGAATTTAATTTTAATATTTATAATTCTCAAATATAAGTACAATTAGAGAATTATTCCAAATCTACTGTTATGCATATTGGCTGCAGGGCAGCTACAATTTTAAATTTAGGAAAGACATGAAGGAAGTAAAGAAATTCATCATGCAGATTTCTGGGAGACTCTGTAAGAGGAAGCTGCTTGTATAAAGGCCTGAGGTTTGAACATGTCTGGCGTGTACAGTAACATCAAGAAGCTCAAACAACCCAGAAGAGGGAGAAGCATCCGGTGATGAGTCAGGTAGAAGAAGCACAGCAAATACTGTGCGACTTCGTATGGTCTCAGCTACACGTTGATATGATCTAGATTTCAAAAGAGAACGCTCTGGGTATTGGATGGAAATGCATGCCAGAGGGACATCTTAAACACTGCTATGCTGTTATACACCATGACCAAGGAACTCTTAAAAAGAAAGCATTAAATTGGGGGCTTGATTATAGTTTGAGTGTTATTCCACTTATCATAGAGGAGAGCAGACAGACAGTGGGCCTAGAGAACCTCCAGGGACACACCTCCTCCACCAAAGCCACACCTCCTAGGCCTTCCAAGCAGTTCACCACCTGGGAACCAAGCGTGCAAATATATGAACCTATTGTTCATCCAAACCACCACAGGGACAAAGGTGAAAACCAGTTATCTAGAAGACGGCTAGGTGACGGTGACTAGAATAGTTATCAAGAAGACACTGTCAGCGTGAAAAGAAAAAGCCACATCCAAGACTCATCTCTGCATTTAGAACCAAAAGATTCTGACTGAATGGATATGAGATGTGGAAGAGGAGCCAAGGATGACTCCAAGGTTTCTTTCGTTTCCTCTCATGTGTATATGTGTAAGCATGTATGTGGACACATATGTGTAAGTGTGCATGTGTGTTCATGAGGAGGCCTGAGGGTGATGTCACAGGTCTTCCTCAATCACTCTCCAGCTTGTTCACTGAGGCAGGGTCTTTCACCAGAACCAAGAGAGCAATGATAGCACAAACCAGGCTAGCCAGCCTGCACTAGGGATCCCAGCTCCTTCTCCTTGTATTATATGTGAGCTGCCACGATTGGCTTTTCCCATGTGCTGGGAATCTCTACCCTAGCCCTAATGCTTGAATGGCAAGTACTTTAACTACTGAGCCATTTTCCCAGCATCTCTGAGATTTCTTATCTGAAAACTGGAAGGGTGGGTGCTGCCCCTGATAACCGGAGGGGAAGATGTAGATGTGGATGTACATGTACACACAAGGTCCTAAACTTACAGAGACAACTAACCCATACACTGCTAAGAATAAGTTTGCTTAGGATGTGAACTATTGAGGATCATTAGGAACGCAGGCTGATAAAGTATGCTGAGTAATGTAAGCAATTCCTTACTTTGCCCCTGGCATGAAAATGTTTAAGTTTTCCACTGCAGACAAAACTGTACCATGACTTCTCTTTGCTGACATGCATTCATTCAAATTAGATTTTTGGGCCATTTGGATTATACTTCCAATTGAGAGATCTAAAAATAATTTGCCTTGCAATCAAATTTCAAGTAGAGGACAGTTCACCAAACAGATTTCAAAGTAACCTTTCACTATTCCTCTGTTTAAAGGAACTCACTCTACATTAGCGGCTCTCAGTAATCAGTCACCTACATCTTCTGATGAATTAAAAAAGAAGATATTTTAGTATGTAAAGTTTTGTAAGAATATGAAGGTTTGAGATATGAGGATGAAAGTTTAAGTGAGTCATGAAGGTTTGAGTATGCGTGATGTTTTTACGAGATCTAAGATGTGTAGGTGTAATATAGGGATACATGAAGGCTTGGAAAGAAAGAAAGAAAGAAACAGGGTATGTGGAATGCAAGTTATTGGGATAGGTGAGGCAAGTCATAAAGGTCTGGGGATGAGAAGGCTAAGTAATGATCAAAGAAAGTGACTGGAGGCACATAAAAGAAAGAAACATTTCAGATGTCTTTCTATTCTGCTGTTACATTGAGACTCCAAAGACTACTAATCTGGCTCCGAAAAAAAATACCACCACTATTATAATAGCCACAAACAATAATAATGCTATGTAACTTTTGTCTCTTTAAAGAAGGTTCTTTTTTTTTTTTTTGGATTTTTCGAGACAGGGTTTCTCTGTAACTTTTGGTTCCTGTCCTGGAACTAGCTCTTGTAGACCAGGCTGGCCTCGAACTCACAGAGATCCGCCTGCCTCTGCCTCCCGAGTGCTGGGATTAAAGGCGTACGCCACCACCGCCCAGCTTTAAGAAGGTTCTTAAAGGCTTCAGAAGATCAGGTTGGAATTCTTTTTTTAAAAATATTTATTTATTTATTATGTTTACAATATTCTGTCTACATGTATGCCTGAAGGCCAGAAGAGGGTACCAGACCTCATTATAGATGGTTGTGAGCCATCATGTGGTTGCTGGGAATAGACTCAGGACCTTTGGAAGAGAAGGCAGTGCTCTTAACCTCTGAGCCGTCTCTCCAGCCCTCTGCTTGAATTCTTTAACACATTTAAGTGCCACCAAGCTGCGGTTGTTTCCCCAGCAGCCTATTTCCTTAATGGGACACCTCTTTCTCCTCCTCTCTGAATACTGGAACTCCCCGTTCTCAGCTACCAGGACCATGAACCCACCATAAAATTGTTAAAAACTACTTAACTTCACTTCTGTCCCTGTTCCAACAGGTTTCAAATCAATTACAGACACTTCCAGCAGACCCAGCAGTAGCTCTAGCTGTTTCCTCGGAATCTACATCCTGGTCCTAGCCTCAGATGCTCCTGGATTTGGCCATCATTGCAGCTTTTTGGGTCCCTAACTAGAAGGCCCTAACGTCAGCAGGAAGTAATGAGAAGATTGCATTACCCCTTATCATTCATTTATTATCAATAAAAAGGGTTAGAAGGCTTGCTGCTCTTGCAGGGGATCCGGGGTTCATTCTCAGCACCCATACTGGGCAGCTCACAGCCACTGACAGATACACCTCTGACCTTGTGCAGCACCTGCACTCATGTGCGCACACACACACAAATTTATAGATGCAATATACCTGAGCTATCAAGAACATTCAGGAATACAGTGAAGATTAGTGATTTTGGAAAAATTTCATTTCTATTAATATATGTCTATTTAGCCCCGAGTCCATTTATCCTTGATGCTAACTCTTTACAGCACTGTCACTCAAAAGTGTCAGGCAACTCAATAAACACAGTGTCATGGGACACGGGTTTTACAAATATTTATCATCAGTGAAAATAACTACTTTAAATGAATTTTAAGATTCGACACAAGAATGATTTTTATTTCTTATAATTTTTATTCCTTATAATAAATGTAAATGTCACTATTTCCATATCTGGTTAATATAAAACACCCAAGTGCCCTGCGGCAGCTCTGTAGACACTGAGTCACAGCACTGACCTGTAATGAACATGAGTGACTGTCGGCTTCCGGTACCCAAGGATCCAGGTCTGAATATCTATTGGCTCAGCATTGGGATAAGCTATGGTTGCATCTATTATCCACTGGAGGCCTCTTGATTTGCACTCTGAAGAAAAGAAAAAGTGATTTGAGTTGGGCAAGCTTTCCTGTCCCTGCAGAACAGAATTCACTGAGCAGCTGGAGCTTCCTGATGCACGTGGTTTGAGGTAAGAGGCGGACTTTGCTCCTGCTGTTCCACAGTGCACTTAGCATACAATTAAGGCACTCTTACTATAAAGCAGATTACTTCAAAACAAATAATAGAGCACTATTATTTATTAAACATGCCTCATTCAAATCTTAGGTAAATTATGCACTGGCCAGGTTTCATTATATATTATCACTCCTACACATATCAGTCCACGGAAGGTCAGATAAGACATACATCATAAAAATGAAAAGTAGACTTCAAAGCCAAATCAATAAATGTACACAAAAGTCATGATTTATAACAGTAATACTTAGGGGACATTAACAAATACAGGAAATGGAAATAAAATTAAACGTGTTTCTACACACATTATTATTGGCTACTGTTCTTGTTTTAGCAGACATTACATAAAAACAAAGCACTTCAGCAGGAACAATGAGTAGCCACAGTTGGGGAGGAGACGGGAAAGTACTGTTTAGACCTTCACACACTATTTTGTTCTCATCCATGAATATAAGAGTGAGCGAGAATGGAAGGACTCCCTCCCAGAGCACCCTGGCTTTCAGTGTTTTAAAGTATAGTTATCTGTTCTATGGGTGAAGGCTCTAGACCACCTTCCAGCCTAAATCTAAATTGTATCAGGAGTCAATAATAGATTAATTTTCCTTCTTAGGAATTAAAACCAGCTTTAAATATCTTAAAAGATTTTAGAGCAACATTCTGAATGGGGATCATTTGTAAGGAGGAACAATTTCTCTCTGAGCATGGGGACAAACGTCTGTAAATAATCCCAGCACTTGGGAGACTGTGGCAGGACAGGTCCAAGGTCAGCTGGGGTTATATAACTTTGCCTCGAAAATCAAACCAAATCAAACCAATCCAAAGCATAAAATAATCAAAACAAATGAACAAATGGGCAGAGAGAAGGGCAGAGGGGACAGACGGCAAACATGGTGAAACAGAGCACAGTTGGCAGCTCATCCAGTCATTACAGATTCGCTGAACTCTATGTTTAGGAATTTTCATGATGAAAGGAAGTGTAAACAGCCCAGGAGAATTCAGCTCAGGGTGAGTTATCGTACAACTCATCAATAAACAAGCAGAAGATCCTGATACTTTTAAAGGCCATTGGGCAGAAAAGAATTCTGACATGTACCTGGTGCAAACACTAAACACAAAGGTAGGGTTTACGTTCATAAAGGATAAAATACTAATGAATGTGACCACCACAGAAAACAGTGGAAAATGTCAAATATCAAAACATAAAAACCAGTAAAATACTTTTCAGGTATTCTGATGACTTAAAATTTAAATATATTAACTATGGATAAATAATAAACTCCTTTCTTATAAATAGAAATCGTGGCTATCTGAAAGAAAAGTCTCTTTTCTCATTCCTAGGCAACTGTTAACACATTGTCCTTTCTTTGAGAGCTGAACTACCCTGGGCACTGCCTGGGTGGACTGTGCAAACAGCAGTCTTTTTAATGGGACCAGCTCTGGCCTGCAAGACACTGCCACAATATCTCTCCGGCAGGGAAGCTACTCTGAACTTTCTTTTCTATTAAGAGACTCTTTAAATTTGCCTTTTTAATAGATAATGAAAGATTAAGAAAGCTGACTGCCAAGCAGCTGCTTGGAAAAAGCCAATGAAAGGGAAAATGCAGTGCAATGTCCTGGGCATTATTTCTACATCTGCTCTGTACAGAATCTGAGACATTTCTGAGAGCCACTCATTTCAACATTTATTTAAATAATACCAAAAGAATTTTAAAATGCTATTAAAGAAACTGGCCTTGTGAGTCTCTTTGAGCTGCTTATCAAACACTTTTGAAGAAGATGCTCTTGCTATTGCAAGCATAGCTCTGGGAGACTTCAGAGCTTGCGGGCCCAGGGAGCTGCATCACTGAGCGTTGCTTACTCTTTCTTGGCTATTAAAACAGTATGTGTTCATGACCTTAGAACTCTGGAAAACAAGCCACACTGTACAGCTCATTGGACAATCTCTGCTAACATGCTGGTGCCTTTCCTGCTGTCTGATGCTCACATTATTTTCACAAGACTTGTATGCATCCCTCCCACACACACACCCTGTACAGCATAAGTACTTTGCCAGGCACCCAAACTCTCCGTATGCAGCAGCTGCATGGCTGTGTTACACAGACATGTGGGAATTTGCTTACCCATTCTCCCTCTGGCTGGTTTATTATATATAAGCCTGTGACAAATTTGCTTTACTTATATTTGGATTATGATTATTGCTTTTTGACAGAAAGCCTCATTTTGTAACCTAGGCTGACCTAAAATTTACTGTAGCCTAGGTTGTCCTTGAACTCAATGCAATCCTCCTCCTCCTCAGATTTACCAGTGCTGGAGTTACTGACTTAGGTTGTTTCCTTTTGATAATTATGTAGTAGGGTGACTGAGTTGTTTATTAATACCCTAAGGGTCTCAAATACTGACAAGTTACACTAACTTTGTTGCCTATTAAAGCAAACAAAACCTTCTAGATTTAGTAAGTAAAAAGTAACTTGCATCATTAGGGGTAGAAGTCGCCCTGAGTAACAGCACAGACAGGCAGACATCTCTGACTATGCGGTGTCACCCTGAGTAGTAACAGCACAGGCAGACATCTCTGACTATGCGGTGTCACCCTGAGTAACAGCAGTTACTGTTACTGAGTGACTATGTAGTTGTAGTTATTTTAGTGCATTATTGTGAACACCGACTAAAGAGACAAATAAAGAGATAATGACCTCATCCTCTCCCGACTTAATTCTAACTGTCAAAAGTTATTTAAACTAAGAATCGGGTCAGGCGTAGTGCCGCAGGGCTTTAGTCCTAGCACTCAAAAGGTAGAGACAGGTGGATCTCTGTATTTGAGACCAGCCTAGTGTACTACATAGTTTCAGGACAGCTCAAGACTACATAAAGAGGCCCTGTCTCAAAATCCACAACCCAACCCAAACAAGCAAACAAAAACCTAAGACAAAAAACAAAAAGCATTGGAACTCTAGAAAGCACTTCATTAAAACATGACAAGAGATTTTAAGGCTCCTACCTAGGCCTTTAGCATCTCCTCCTGCTGGACTTCCATTTTCCTGCCGTGCTACAAGTGCATTCAGGATAATGCTTGTTGCCCCAAACCTTGGCAAAGTGACATGTGTAAGAAATGGCAAGTTATTCTTCTTGGCAAATGCCTGGCTTGTTTCTCTCCTCTTCCGGAGGAAGCCCCCTTCAGGAAACAAAACAATCCATTTTCGATCCCTGCTCCTGTAATTATGTTCTAGGTGCTTCTTGAGAACCAGCAGCTGTTGGTCACGATAGGATCTTCCCTAGAAGACACACACAGTAAGGACAGGCACAGTTGCAGTTAAAATACTGAGATTAAGAAGGAACAACTACTTCAAAACTGAAATTCAACCACAGGACAGAACAGTGGTTTCCCCCAATTATTTCTCTTTTTGACTACTCGGACTTACACAAAGGAACTTCTTCCTGGAGAAAGAGCAGTTCAGCAGGTGGGGGGCCACACAGTAAGTGTCTACAATTTGCCAAGTACAGTCCCAACACCAGAAACGGGAGTACACAGGAGACACTTGGGAAAGTGCTGAGTGTGGAGTACAAACCCCACTGGGGATATGTTTTAGGAAGGAAAGAAGAAGGAGATCAGGAGGAGCGAGGCGAGCTGATGTAAGCAAATAACTAACAAATAACATGACGGAATGAGCCACACAAAGAAAGAAGGCAGGATGCTCCAAGTGACAAGAGCCAAAAAAGATACAGGTCCAAGGTGGGAACATGCTTGATATGCTGGGGCCTGGTGTTGGGCACACATCTTTAATCCCCGCATCGGTAGGCAAAAAAACAGGTGGCTCCCTGTGAGATCAAGTCTACCTAATGAGTCTCAGACCAGGACAGTGTAGTGAGACCACAAAGAAAGGGCCTCAGGCACGGGGGTAGGTTTTACTGCTTTTTGGTTTGTTTTATGAGTGTGTGTGTGTGTGTGTGTGTGAGAGAGAGAGAGAGAGAGAGAGAGAGAGAGAGAGAGAGAGAGCGCGAGACAGAGAGCGAGCTTATGTACACCATTTGTCTACAAATGCTCAGGGAGGCCAGAGAGTGTTGGATCTCCAGCAACTGGAGTCATAGGTGGTTGTGAGCAGTCTGACATGAGTTCTGAGATGGATCCTGGTCCTCTGCAAGAGCAATGAGGTCTCCTACCTGCTCAGCTTCCTTTCCAGCCACCACAGCGATAAGCCTGCTTTAAATGCAGAATCGCTGGAGAGTCTGAGGAAGGGATGCAGTGTCTTTCTTATGTTACAGGTGAGCCCAACTCTGCAGCAGTCAAGTTCTGCTGGCTTTGTGATAAAAGAAAGGCCACTGGAGGTGAGCTAGGGAGCTGACCACGTTAGGCTAGATAGAGTGTATTCTTGGAAAAAAATAGATAGAAGTGGGAAATCCCTGGAAGCAGACAGCAGGACGATAGGATGAACTGGATCTTAGTTGTTGAGAGAAGAGACAGGATGGCCTGGAGGCTCAAAATGGACAGTCAGATAAATCTACTGGAAGGTCCCAACTTCCAATCAGTATCAGAAGTCTCTTCCCTCTTGGTGTGGTTCAGTCGGCATAGTTACAAAGTCCCTACAATAATGAGTGAGCTTTCTGCCTTCAGATTAAATATATCACAAACTAAAAAACAAAGATTCTTAAAACTAGCTTATTGAATTAAGATTATGACTAAGATAGCTTTTAAATTTTCTAGTACTGTATATAAATATAAAACTTATATAGATATAATACATATATATGCACACACACACACACACACATATATAGATATATACTTTTACTATTCTTAGAAGATTTTGTTAAAAGTAGCCTAGTAGCAAAGTCCCAAGCAGAATTTAAAAAAAAAAAATTAACTTTTTTCTTTCTTTTGAGGAGGGTTCCACTGCTAGGTAGAACAACCTTGAAGTCCCTCCCTCTTCCCCTCTGTATCTAAGTGCTGGGATTACAGGCGTGCACAACACATTTCACTAAACTAACACCTTTTCTACCACTCATTCCCATGTTACAGAATTTTACTGCTAATATCTGAGGGGAAAACAATGCTTTTTTAGAAATTAATTTTCAGTTACTCTGAAATAGACCTTATGGATTCAAAACTTTGACTGCCATTAAGTGGGAAAGATTTTGGAGGACATACTGTTCATTTTTACTCCCCAGGGCAAACTGGGAACTAGACTTGGAGCTTGAGGCTCGCCACTGACACCAGGGCTCCACTGCTCTACCCGTATCATTTCAGACGTCCCAGGGAAGGGACTGGCTGGCTGGACTCTGGACCCTCACAGGCTGCTGAGATTTCTGCTGCTTGCTTCTGTGCTTTCTACTTTACTTCTGGCTTATGTCTGAATTTGTGGTTCCTCAGGACAGGATTTATTTTACTTATGGTATTAAGTACCACATGCACAGGATCATATAACAGAGTAGAGTACAGGAACGTGGAGGAACCACGGTCTTGCTATCCACAGACATGTTTACATGATGCTTCCCTGCTTTGGAAGGAATCTGTGTGTGATGCTAGCGTGGACGAGAAGACTGCTGCACGGCAAGGCCTGCTGACTGGGAAGAGGCTGTGACTGTCGCCCTGCATGACCATTCCTGGAGCTTACACACACCCCTTCCCATGTCACCTCCATTCATCTGACACATATGACAAAAACTATGTTCTCCTCCAAACATTTTCTGAATTTACAAAAATCTGATGTACCCACTTGTCTTACTATGAATTCCCTCAACATTTCATATTATTATTATTATATTTATTTACTGTTTAAAAATCTCCAGTCAGGTGGTGGTGGCCCACGCCTTTAATGCCAGCACTCAGGAGGCAGCACGTGAATAACTGAGTTCCAGGCCAGCCTGGTCTACAGAGTGAGTTCCAGGCCAGCCTGGTCTACAGAGTGAGTTCCAGGCCAGCCTGGTCTACAGAGTGAGTTCCAGGCCAGCCTGGTCTACAGAGTGAGTTCCAGGCCAGCCTGGTCTACAGAGTGAGTTCCAGGCCAGCCTGGTCTACAGACTGAGTTCCAGGTCAGCCTGGTCTACAGAGTGAGTTCCAGGCCAGCCTGGTCTACAGAGTGAGTTCCAGGCCAGCCTGGTCTACAGAGTGAGTTCCAGGCCAGCCTGGTCTACAGAGTGAGTTCCAGGCCAGCCTGGTCTACAGACTGAGTTCCAGGCCAGCCTGGTCTACAGACTGAGTTCCAGACCAGCCTGGTCTACAGACTGAGTTCCAGGTCAGCCTGGTCTACAGAGTGAGTTCCAGGCCAGCCTGGTCTACAGAGTGAGTTCCAGGCCAGGCTGGTCTACAGAGTGAGTTCCAGGCCAGCCTGGTCTACAGACTGAGTTCCAGGCCAGCCTGGTCTACAGAGTGAGTTCCAGGCCAGCCTGGTCTACAGAGTGAGTTCCAGGCCAGCCTGGTCTACAGAGTGAGTTCCAGGCCAGGCTGGTCTACAGAGTGAGTTCCAGGCCAGCCTGGTCTACAGAGTGAGTTCCAGGCCAGCCTGGTCTACAGACTGAGTTCCAGGTCAGCCTGGTCTACAGACTGAGTTCCAGGTCAGCCTGGTCTACAGAGTGAGTTCCAGGACAGTCAGGGATACACAGAGAAACTCTTTGTCTTAAAAAGCCAAAAAAGAAAAAACAAAATCTCCCCTGATAACTGAGTTATCTCCAGTACCACACAACAGGACATTGCAAACGACAGTAAGAGTAGAAGTTAGATAATGTCAGCACATTCATGATAAAATGACCATGAGGGTAGCAGCAGGCACTGCTTTGGATGCTGCACATGGTTAACTTCACTTAATCCCACAACTGCTGAGGGAGACTGTCCTTGTTTCCATGTGAGAAGCAGGGATGCGGCAGGTGCTGTCATACACATCCAAAGGGAGGTCTTCTTTCACAGCTGATACTCAGGTCCACCGTCTCAACACAGAGAGCAATGTGCGCCACCCACCTGCCTTATAAAGAAGTCCCCATGAATCAGAGAAACAACTCCAAAGTTTGTGTACTTGAAAATATGATCCATCAGCCACATCATCTGGGCGACAACCTGAAATATTGAAATATAAGACATGGTTAATTCAGTGCTGGAAATGAGAAACTTGCTACTATGTAGCCAAGTCTCCATAGTTTCAATATAATCATCTATTTTAATTAGTAACTACATATTTTTTATTCTTTTGACAATTTTTTATGCATTTATAAAATTTCTACTCCTCAAACTCCTCCCTACTCCCTCTCAAGTTCATGGCCTCCTCTTTTATTATTATTATTACATATATACACAGCCTACTGGGAAGAGGCAATACAAAGGTCCAAAGGAAACATTATAGGTGCTGCCTTAATTTTCAGTGAGACGACCACCACCTTTCCTAGACTGGACAGCTCACAAACATAAGAAGCCCCACATGTGTAAGAGAATAGGGGCTGAGGAGATGGCTCAGTTGGGTCTCAGCACTTAAATCAAAGCCACGTGTGGAGAGTACTCATGACCCCAGTGCTAGGGAAGGGCATATAAGGTCGAAGGGGTTGGTCAGTGAGAGACCCTGTCTCAAAGAGTAAAGTGGAGGTAAATGAAGAAGACAGTTCACTTCAACGTCTTCTCTATCTCTCTCTGTGTGTGCACGCGCACCTAAACACATGTGTGGAGGTCAGAGGACAATTTTTAGGTGTCAGTTCTTTCCTTTATCATGTGGGTCCTGGGGATAGGGCTCAGGTCATCACCTATGGTGGTTTGAAAGAAAATGGTCCCTGTAGGGAGTGGCACTATTAGGAGGTGTGACTTTGTTGGAGTGGGTATGGCCTTGTTGGAGGACATGTCACTATTGGAGGTGGGCTTTGAGGTCTCTTATATGCTCAAGTTACACCCAGTGTGAGACCACTTCCTAATCTCAGCTCCTTCTCCAGCACCATGTTTGCCTGCATGCTGCCTTGCCTCTGCCATGACAATAATGGATGAACCTTACTGAACTGTATGGGAGCCCCAGTTAATGTCTTCCTTTATAAGAATTGTCGTGGTCATGGTGTCTCTTCAAAGCAATAGAAATCCTGACAAAGCACCAGGTTTGGCAGCAAATGTCTTTATCCACTGAACTATCTCATCAGCCCCAAAGAGGTATTTTTTTTTAATTAATTAATTTATTTATTAAAGATTTCTGCCTCCTCCCCGCCACCGCCTCCCATTTCCCTCCCCCTCCCCCGATCAAGTCCCCCTCCCTCATCAGCTGGAAGAGCAATCAGGGTTCCCTGACGTGTGGGAAGTCCAAGGACCACCCACCTCCATCCAGGTCTAGTAAGGTGAGCATCCAAACTGCCTAGACTCCCCCAAAGCCAGTACGTGCAGTAGGATCAAAAACTCATTGTCATTGTTCTTGAGTTCTCAGTAGTGCTCATTGTCCGCTATGTTCAGCGAGTCCGGTTTTATCCCATGCTTTTTCAGACCCAGGCCAGCTGGTCTTAGTGGGTTCCCGATAGAACATCCCCATAGTCTCAGTGTGTGGGTGCACCCCTCGCAGTCCTGAGTTCCTTACTGATCTACAATTCTATCTTTGAGAGACTATGGAATAAGTAATCAATCAAATAAATATTTCTCTTAACCTCTGAGCCATCTCTCCAGCCCTCAAATAAATATTTCTACTTGTCAATATAAACTAATATTGATTCATGCTTATAAAGCAAGAGGAAATAAATTAAAAACTGTAAGAGTTGAAAATGATCTCCCATGAAACTAGTTTTAAAATGTGTCTAGATTTCAAGTTATCTGACAATATCAGAGAATTATAAAATTACTAGGGGAGGCTGGAGAGATGGCTCAGTGGTTAGCAGTACTGCTGTCTGGCAGGGGACCCTTCTTGGATTCTCAGTGCCCTCCTCAGGAACTAGCTTCCGGGGATCAGAAACCCTCTTCTGGCATCCACCAGCACCCACACACATGTGACATACATCCACACAAACACATAAATGTACAAATAAAATAAATGTAAAAAGTTACTCAGGACAGGCAATTAAACTTAAATTAATTCAAATCTTACAAAAGCAAACAAAACAAGCTTCCTTTGGTTCACATGACTACCTAACATTAAGTTAATATTCAGTTATCGTCCTCAACTAATGGGAACTGGAACACGGGCACATTTTATACTGATCATTTAAGTCATTCTTTGAGAATTAAGGCCACTTATGCACATTGCATGCTTTCAAAATAACTGTAATATGTAATTACCATTATCAGCGAGACTAAAAAATGTTGGCTAACTGGATATTTGTCTTTCCACCGCCCCAAACACACAGTTTTACGTTATGAATTTAAAAAACAAACAATGTATTTATTGTAAGAACAAATGCATCCACACAGCAGCAGGTTCTCTTTAACAATCTGAGACTCTTGATTATAAGGATTAAATTTATTTCACATTCCGGCAAGACTACCCCTGCTTTTCAGATAAGAAAAAAAATTATGCAATAACTAAATATATTTTTTTATTTCACCTCATATTCTGACTTTATCTGGTGATTCAAAACTCTTTAAACCTTATGCTAATTCTCACCTTACCTCAGGCATTGCCAAAACCATTTCACTAGAGGCGGCCTAAGTAAATTTTACCTAACGCTGAAAGCCAAGAGTTTGTGCTCACTCCTCTGCAGACTGGCCTGTGATCTCCAGTTACATGGCGAGCTCACTCTCAAATACAAGCTTTCCAATTGCAGTTACATACTGTTATAACCTCATCTCCCACCTGGTAATGGGTTGCTGGCTCCTGGAAAGAAGATTGAGTCTTTACTTCTTGTTTGTTTTTGAGACAGGGTCTGTCTACACAGACCTGGCTGCCCTGGAATTCGCTCCATAGACCAATCTGGCCTCAAACTCACAGAGATCTGCCTGCCTTTGCCTCGAGAGCTGAACTAAAGGTGTGGCCACCATTGTCAATGAGCATTTACTTCTTACAGTCATTCATCAGGACCATTAAGCAAGCAGTGGACATCTATTATTTGGTTTACTTAGTTTAGGGTCAAATAAACTATACAGATGAAAAGATTTGCAGGGCAAGGTCTGGAGGAAAGAGCATAAAGCCCTCTCAGAACTTCCCCGTGCCCAGCTCTCAACGCTGAGTCCTTTTGCATCTCTATAAAGAGACTTCCTTGCCTACCAGATGTTATATATATAGTCTATATATTATATATATATATGGTTTTCTAGAAACATAATTTCTTTAACTTCTCAGGTAATAATTCTTTGAATGACCAAGGCCAAACATATTTTAAATGTACTCAATTTGTTGATTATTTTTAATCATCAATATAAGTAATGTGAAATCAACAGTTCAAACACTGGTTTATTAATCAATACTAGACACTATCCTAATTAGTTATCTTTTAAAGTCTTTACATTTCCTTCCTAGAGTGACTGAAAACTATATTTTTCATATTAAATCTACATCTATGTTTTAAACAACGAGATACTTGAATCAATGCTTCTAAGTCCATCCCTGAAGGCTATCTGCCTGAGGCAGGCACCAAAACTGCTTACCGGTCCTTTGTCTTGTAGGCACATCATCAATGTACACACATCTCCAGTTGCCTGGTGGTTCACCAACATCACCGCTTCATCATTAGAAATTGCTTTAATATCTTCCCCCCATTCCATCACTGTAAGAATAAACATTTCAAATTGTCATTTTAGAGATTGTCATGTAACCAGAGACCTTTTATTTAAAAAAAAAAATGGTACACATTAATGACGTCTTTTAAAAGTTTGGAACTAGGTTTATTTTCTATGAAAGTCACAATGTTGACAACATTTTAGAGTCCCAAAATATGAGTCCCATTAAAATATAAAGTGGTAGTATTTTTTATTTATCCTACATTATTCAAATAGCTAAAATTATAGGAATAAAAGGTATTTATAACAATTTAGGAAAACAGACAAGAGGTGATGATAAACCCACGCTGGTGGCACACATCTTTAATCCCAGCACTTGAGAGGCAGAGACAGGAAGATCTCTGTGAGTTTGAGACCACCCTGCTTCTGTCCAGAACAGCCAAAGCTTCACAGAGAAATCCTATCTCAAAAAACCAGAAAGGGGGAAAAAAGAAAAGAAACGAAATAGAAAAAAGAAAATTATCGTAAGATAAATATTCATGGCAGAAATTCAGAGTATTTCTACTTACACCCCTCCCCCCCCCAAACAACATCATCACTGTGATGTTACTAAAATGATACGCTGTATCCATTTTAGCTATTTTGTAAGGTCTCTCACTCAGAACCTGCCTGTCTAGGGCAGGTGACAGAAACTAAAACATGCCATTCTTGTGGCTGGTCACGGAAACACTAATCTTCCCCACCTTTCTCTGGCCTTCCTTGTCTGGTAGACAATAAGGCACTTCAGAAGTTTTGGCACACATCTAGAGAAGGAATGTGCACAGACAAACCTCTCTAGGTTTTACTACCCATCTTGTTAACATCTGGTAGGCAAGGAAGTCTCTTTAGAGATGCAAAAGGACTCAGCGTTGAGAGCTGGGCACGGGGAAGTTCTGAGAAGGCTTTATGCTCTTTCCTCCAGACCTTGCCCTGCAAATCTTTTCATCTGTATCCTTTGTAATACCCTCTATAATAAACTAGTAAATGTGTTTTCCTGAGTTCTGTGAGCCACGTAAGCAAATTAACTGACCCCGAGAAGACAGTTGTGGGTCCCTGATTTAGAGCAACCAGTCAGAAACACAGGCTACAAACAACTGTGACAGGGACCTGTGGGGACAGGCTATCTTGGGGATTAACTGATCTGATTCTATCTCCAAGTAAAGAAAGAGCAGTGGAACTTGAATTAGGGGACTCCCAGCTGGCTTCCAATGCAGAACTGCTTTCTTGCTTAGAGTATCAAAGGAAAAATCCCACCCATCAGGCATTAAAAGTGATTAATGTTAAAAAGGATGCAGTAGGGAAAATAAAGCCAGAGATGCTTTTACAGCTCTGGAAATGGCCCCAGGCTTTTTGTATGTTAGGGAGGCATTGTCACAGAGTTACATCCCCAGCTCCTTGAGAAATACAACTGCGTGTTACGTATCACACTGAATTCCAGACTTAGTAACACCAGTTATCATTACACGACTCCCAGATTGTACCAGAAACTGTCTCAATATTTCAAAAACTGCAATTTTCATTTTTTTTCTTTTTGTTTTTCGAGTCAGGGTTTCTCTGTGGTTTTGGAGCCTGTCCTGGAACTAGCTCTTGTAGACCAGGCTGGTCTCGAACTCACAGAGATCCGCCTGCCTCTGCCTCCCGAGTGCTGGGATTAAAGGCGTGCGCCACCACCGCCCGGCTGCAATTTTCATTTTTTAAGGAAGAAAACAAATTAGTTTAAAACATCTGGGTGGAAAGGCACTGCATCAAAAACTCCTTGTACATTCTCAGGAGAGTAGGTCACAGAAGAAAGGCAGCTGAGTGCCAGTTTTCAAGCATCAGGACTGTACAGAGAAGTGTCTCGGCTTCTCACCCCTGGCTCAGGACCTCAGCCTGAGTGGGGCAGTCTCTGGGCACAAAAATGAGGAGGCCTGAGGCATTCCCTCCCTTTTTCTCACCGTTACCCAGCACTCTAGAGATTCTTATGCAGAGGACTTCACATGACCTCACTTGAGAAAGGGTGCTACTGAGTTTTTCCTCCCATTGAAACCAGTCGAGCAAGGCAGCTTTCCTTTTATATTAGCAATCTCAAGTCTTAAATCCACACTGAAGAGATTTCCAACAGGGTAAAAATACACCAAATTACGGCACTCACTGAATTAAGACGTTACAGTTATTCCACCAGATGCTATCACACACATAAAAACAGCTTAGTGTCTATGATTAAATGTTTTTCTTTAAAATTTTTTAATTAATGAACTACAGAAGCTCCATTAGATGATGCCATTGTTCCTTAGCAGAGGCGGAACCCCAGAGTCCAGCCTCTTGCAAACTGCAGTAGCAATAGTCCCCAGCTCGGCCCGGGTGACACGCTCGTTTCGCTGATACACTGCTGGGGGGAAACAGGCGTGGGGACATGTTATCGCGTGGATATGTACACTTACGTGCACGTTCACACATTTATTGGTACATGTTATTTGTGTGGATATGTATACTTATGTGCACGTTCACACATTTATTGGGTGTCTTCCTTGATCATTTCCTACTTTAATTATTGAGGTAGGGTCTCTCCTGAATCTGGAGCTCTTGAATTCCAGCTAGTCTAAGAAGCTATCTTGTTCCCCAGACTTTTTCTTTGCTTGCTGAGTTCTGGGATTACAGGTAGCAATCACATCTGTCTGGCTTTTTACATGGATTCCTCTCTTCACCCAGCCACATCACTCCTCTCTCTACCTCCCTAGTTCTGGGAATTAAAGACGTGTGAACCCAAGTGTTGGAAATTACCTTTGAGCTCATTTTCTCTTTTAGACAGATTCAATCTCGGGTAGTCAAGAGTGACCTTGAACTCACAGAGATCCTGCCCCTGTCTCCTGAGAGCTGGGATTAAAGGCGTGCGCCACCACTGCCTGGCCTCTATGGCTGACTCATGGCTTAGCTCTGACTCTGATCCCCTGGCACTCTTTATGTGTTAGATTACAGACAAAATATCACTGTAATTTCAATGAATTTAAAATACAAAGTAGAAAATCTACTTTCAAAACAGCATTTAAGGCAGTGGTTCTCAACCTGTGGGCTGCAACCCCTTTGGAGGATGAAGGACCTTTTCACAAGGGTGACATATCAGATATCCTGCATATCAGATATTTACATTACGAATTGTAACAGTAGCAAAATTGTAGTTACGAAGTAACAACAAAAATACTTCTATGGTTGGGGGTCACCACAACATGAGGAACTGTATTAAAAGGTTACAGCACTAAGAAGAATGAGAAGCACTGATTTAAGGGGTTGGAGAGATGGTTACAAATGCTTGCTGCTCTTGTTGAGGACCCAAGTTTGGTTCCCCAAGTCCATGTTTGGGGTGGAGGGAGGGGACGACTCACAAAAACCTGTAATTCTAACTTCAGTGGGATTTAATACCTCCGTCTGCCACCGGCACCTGCACAGACACACAGACACATAATTAAAATTAAAATAAATCTTAATCCTGTCCTGACTTCCCTTCATGATAGACTACAACTGTAAACTGAAATAAACTCCTCCCCGGGTTGCTTTTAGTCATGGTCTTTATCACAGCAGTAGAAAGCAGACTAAAAGATTATGTCATCTGAAAACAAAAGACCCAGGATCGACAGAATAATCCTCAATCACAAAAGAACTGCTGGAGTTATCACCACTCAAGATTCAAATGATACTCCAGCGCCACACTACTGAAATAAAAATAGGCATACTGATCGATGGGCTAGGACTGAGAACAAACCCCTACTCCTGCAGACACCCAGTTTCTGACAAAGAGGCCAACCATACACACTGCTAAGAAAGCAGCACCTTGGAAAACCAGAGTTGCTTAAAGTGGACAGCCAGCCACCTGTGGGAGGGTGAGGCCAGACCCTATCTCTTACCCTGCACAAAACAACGTTTAGCAGGATTGTTTAGGTAAGATCATCTGAACCATTCAATTGGTTTTTTTTTATTAAATTAAGTTCTTTTGCATAAAAATAGACTTAATAGAAACAAACTGTTCTGCTCTATTTTAGATTTTGTTGTAATTTTTTAAAGGGTTGGCCTATTTAACGTAACCTGTCATATTTGTCAAATCTTTAAGTATTTTGTTTCTGTTTTTAACTGGTAAGTCCTTAGTGTCAGTTGTGAGTTTCCCTTTGTTCCTTATATTTCTTTTTCATTAGCTTTATTTGAAGTTAGTTTTGTGAATTGTGTTTACTTTTGCTAAAAGTAACTCTTTTATGGACTTTTCTGCTTTTCATGTCACTGATGCGGTTCACTTCTGCACTTCCACTCCACACATTCCGACAGTCCATCCCTCTCTGATTGACTTATCCACACATTCTGACAGTCCATCCCTGATTGATTTATCCACACATTCCGACAGTCCATCCCTCTCTGATTGACTTATCCACACATTCTGACAGTCCATCCCTGATTGATTTATCCACACATTCCGACAGTCCATCCCTCTCTGATTGATTTATCCACACATTCCGACAGTCCATCCCTCTCTGATTGATTTATCCACACATTCCGACAGTCCATCCCTCTCTGATTGATTTATCCACACATTCCGACAGTCCATCCCTCTCTGATTGATTTATCCACACATTCTGACAGTCCATCCCTCTCTGATTGATTTATCCACACATTCTGACAGTCCATCCCTCTCTGATTGATTTATCCACACATTCCGACAGTCCATCCCTCTCTGATTGATTTATCCACACATTCTGACGTCCATCCCTCTCTGATTGATTTATCCACACATTCTGACGTCCATCCCTCTCTGATTGATTTATCCACACATTCTGACAGTCCATCCCTCTCTGATTGATTTATCCACACATTCTGACGTCCATCCCTCTCTGATTGATTTATCCACACATTCCGACAGTCCATCCCTGATTGATTTATCCACACATTCTGACAGTCCATCCCTCTCTGATTGATTTATCCACACATTCTGACAGTCCATCCCTGATTGATTTATCCACACATTCCGACAGTCCATCCCTCTCTG